GGCATAACTGGATGCTGATGTATAGAAGACTGCAGATAGGCCCATGTCTATGGCCGTGCACAAAACTTAAGTCCAAATGGGTGAAAGATCTCAACATGAATCCAGCCACTGAACCTCTTAGAAGAGAAAGTGGGAGGTAACCTTGAATGAATTGGTGCAGGAGACTGATTTCTGAACAATTCCCAGTAGTACAGACACACTGAGATCAACAATTAATAAACCAGACCTCCTGAAACTGAGAAGCTTCTGTAAGGCAAAGGACATAGTCAACAAGACCAAATGGCAGTCCATAGAAGGGGGAAAGGTCTTCACCAACTCCACATCTAACAAAGGGCTGATTTCTAAAATATACAAAGAACTCAAGAAGCTAGTTACCAAAACACCAAATAATCCAATTAAAAATTGGGGTATGGAACTAAATAGAGAATTCTCAATAGAGGAATCTAAAATGGCTGAAAGACACTTAAGAATGTGTTCAACATCCTTAGCTATCAGGGAATTGCAAATCAAAATATCTCTGAGTTATCATCTTACTCATATCACAATGGCCAAAAAAAAAAAAAAAAAAAAACAAAAAAAAAAAAAAAAACAGCAAAGACAGTTTGTATTGGAAAGAATATGAAGAAAGGAAAACACTCTTCACATGGCCTTGTATTATGGAATAGATCCTTAATTCTAAGTATTTAAGTATCGAAAACACTGCATTACCCATTAATCAAATGTTCCTGGGATAATGAAACCCAGACTATACAATATTTGATTAAGATGTCAAAATTTTATTCTTACTGAAAAGAAGTGTTTCTATATGTGATTAAAAAAAAAATAACATAATGACAATGGCCAGTATTTCCAGTTTCTTTTGTGGTCTGACCTTTCATTTCCTGCTATAATTTAGCTATCGATTTAGTGTTCCCCAAGAGTCCACTGTGATTGAGGGCTTTGTCCATAAGGTAGCTACATTGCAATCAGCAGGAACATGAAGGCAAGGGGCCTAATACGAGAAACTGGGTCATCAAAGTATTGTCTCAGACATTTTTGTGGGGTGTTAGGATTGTTCCCTTCTTTCCCTTTCCCTTTCTTTCCCTTCCTTTTCCTACTGGTCCCTTCCTACTCCTTCCCTCCCTTTTCTTCTCCCCCTCCCCCTCCTCCTTTCCCCTTCTGACTTCCTGTTTGACAATGTAAGTTCTTCTACACATACAATGTCCCTGAGCCTCCAGAACTGTGAGCCAAACCAACATTTGTTTACCACATAAACAACCCAACTTGATTACCTCATAGTATTAATGCAAAATTTATAAACACGCGCGCACATGCACGCGTGCGCACTCACTCACTCACTCACACACACACACACACACACACACACACACACACACACACATACACACACACACCAACCAATTGATAGACCTTAGTCGAGAACATAGATTGACAAATTACAGTCATTATCAATTCCTCAATGAACAGCTTTTCCATGTTTAAAGGATTTAAAAAGGATAAAGAGAAACTATATGTGACTCATTGTGTCTCAAATACATACTAATTAGTCCATTATAGAGAAGAAGAAGTGGAAGAGGAAGGGGAAGGGAAAGAAGGGAAAGAGGAAGGGAAAGGAGGGGAAGGGGAAGGGAAAGAAGGGGAAAGGGAAGGAGAAAGGGAAGAGGAAGAGGAAAAAGAAGGAGGAGGAAAAACAAACAAACAAACAAAAAAAAACAAAACAAAACAAGTTACCTTGGTCTAAAATGTCTCAACTCCATTTTCTTTCACTCTTCGAATGCAAATGCATGTCTAGCCTCTGTTCTCTAATCCCATCATAGCTTATGACTCTATTGCCTCTGGCCTTAGAGGATTCCCTGCCTCTGATCTCACCTCTTTTCATTATAGACTTTCACCATAACAATACTGGAACCATATTCTAGAGAGAAAAATCAGCAAATTCTTCTCCAGACATCAGTCTTGGCATTTGAAGAATGATGCTAATGCCTTCATGTCTGCTTCTCCCAGGCCTTGCTCATGTGCAGATGTCTCCTACCACCCTCTTCACTTAAAAGATTGTTTGTATGTTAGTTTACCACAAAACCTGAGCATTCTTTGAGGGTAGATGGATATGTAGTTGTCTGCCAAACAGAAACATGTGTTGAAGAATAAATGCTTGAATGTGTTTGAAAAAAAAAAAAAAAGGAAAACACTTCTTTGCTGGTTGGAGTACATACTTGTACAGCCACTTTGGAAATCTGTATGGCAGTTCTTCAGGAAAATGTGAGTCATTCTACCACAAAATCCAGCAATTTTACTCTAGGCAAATACACAAAAGATGCACATTCATACAATAAGGACACTTGTTCAACTTATGTGCATAGCAGCATTATTTGTATTAGCCAGATCCTGGAAGCCACCTGAATGCCCCTTTACTGAAGAGTGGATGTCGAAAATGTGGTATATCTACACAATGCAGTGCTACTCAGGGGAAAGAACAATGGATTCTTGAAATTCACAGGCAAATAGATGGAACTAGAAGAAACCATCCTGAATGAGGTAACCCAGTCACAAAAAAATAAACATAGTATGTACTCACTCATATACAGATTTAAACATAGATTAAAGATCACTAGCCTGCAATCCACACCACCAGAAAAGCTAGGAAACAAGAAGGATCCTAAGAGAGATATACATGGTCATCCTGAGAAGGGGAAAACAACAAGATCTCCAGAGCAAATTGAGAGCATGGGGAGAGGGGAGAGGGAGTTAGGAGAAAGAGAAGGGGAAAAGAGGAGGGGAGAGGAGGACATGAGGAAGCAGGAAGATTGAGTCAGAGGAAGAATAGAGGAGATCAAGAAAAGAGATACCATAATAGAGGGAGCCATTATAGGTTTTAAAAAAAAATCTGGCACCTGGGAAATGTCCAGAGATCTCTAAGGATGACCCCAACTAACAATCTAAGCAATAATGGAGAGGTTACCTTAAATGCCCTTCCAGGATAATGAGATTGATGATTAGAGCCTTCATCCAGTAGTTGGTGAAAACAGAAGCAGACACCAACAGCTAAACACTGAGTAAAACTCCCAGAATCCAGTTGCAGAGAGGGAGGAGTGATAAGCAAAGGCATCAAGACCAGGCTAGAGAAACCCACAGAGACAGCTGACCTGAACAAGGTAGAGCTCATGGACCCCAGTCTGATAGATGGGAAACTAGCTTGGGACTGAACCAGACTCCCTGAATGTGGGTGTTAGTAGAACTGGGCAGTCTATGGGGCCTCTGGTAGTGGATCAGTATTTATCCCTAGTATAGAAATGGACTTTGGGAGTCCATTCCACATAGAGGGATACTCTCTCAGCCTAGACACACGGGAAAGGCTTAGGCCCTGCTCCAAATGATATGACAGACTTTGAAGAACCCCCATGGAGGGCCTCACCCTCCCTGGGGAGCAGAAAGGGGATGGGATTGGGGTTGGGGGAGACAGGGGATGAGGAGAGGGTGAGGGAACTGGGATTGACAGTTAAAACAAGCTTATTTCAATTTTAAATTAAATAAAAAATATTATCATTAAAAATCCTGACATGTGAATAGAGAAGACAAAAAATGAGCAAACTATCAAACATAAAAAAGAAATAGCATGAGAAACACAATGAATTATGAAATCATACATTGTAAAAGCATACTAATGTATTGGTGCATTGGTACATAAAGAAATACTAGAAAGACCCAGATTTCCCTTAATATCCTCAATTTTATTGTCCCTCATTATAAAGTGTGATATTAAACCAATCTGTTAATCACCACTTTCTCTCATTATTTAAAATGGTAGTCACTTCTTCAAAAGATCTTGATAAAAAGTAAAGAATATGATGAAAACACAGTAAAGAAATAATACTGGCTTGTTGGGCATGGATTAATTCTAGGACAAAATAGTCTATTTGTTTTGTTGTTGTTTTTGTCATAATCTTAAACTATATCTACGGTATGGTTGACTCTTCATTCACAGCTGAGTTGCCAAGAATATAGGTAAGGAAGGTATCAAAGAAATAATCCCTGAAAGGAAAGTGTGCTATAAATAGTGTCTGGGAATTGGATGGCTATAGATAAATTTTCATAGCTGTAAAAATGCTAAAGTCTGTTGATGAATAGAGAGAGAGAGAGAGAGAGAGAGAGAGAGAGAGAGAGAGAGATACCATAATAGAGGGAGCCATTATAGGTTTGAAGAGAAAACTGATTCTAGAGAAATGTCCAGGATGACCCCAACTAACAGTCTGAGCAACAGTGGAAAGGCTACCTCAAATGCCTTTCCCTGATAATGAGATTGATAACTAACTTATATGCCATCATAGAAGCAGACACCCACACCTAAACACTGAGCCAAACTCCTGGAATCCAGTTGCAGAGAGGGAGGAGTGGTAAGAAAATGGGGTCAAGACCAGGCTACAAAAATCCAGAGACAGCTGACCCAAACAAGGAGGAGATAATGGACCCCCCCCCCCAGATTGATGGCTGAGAATCCAGCATTGAACCAACTCAGAACCCCTGAACATGGATGGGTCTCAGTTAGAAGGCCTGAGCAGTCTAAGGGACCTCTGACAGTGAAACCAGGACATATCCCTGGTGCATGAAAGGACTTTGGGAGCACATTCCCCATGGAGGGATACTCCCTTAGCCTAGAAGCAGGAGGGAGGGCCTCATACCTACTCCTTCTGGAAGGCATCCTCCTCCTTGTGCAGTGGGGGTGGGGTTGGGTGGGAGGAGGGGTCGGAGGCAATGGGAGGGACGGAGGGGGATGGAACTGGGATTGATATATACAATAAGAAATAAATAATTTTCATGGCATCTTGAAGAGAAGAATAAAAAAATATACCAGTCCCCAAAGTGAGGAAACCTTGGGTAACTCTTTCTAAAAAGAAGGGCATTTTTTCCCCTGTGTTAAGTAAGTTGAGCAAATTCCAGTGAGAAGTTAAAACTTAAAAATCTTAGATTGCAAAAGAAATTTTACAAATAATGCAATGGCTCACCTTAAATACCATAAACTCTCCATTCACATATGTCCCTTTTGTTTGTGAGAAAAGATCCTTGATTTTAGGAGTTGCATTGGCTCTTTGCTTCAGTGTATTTGAGATAACCATTGTTTGGTTAACATTCACATCAGACACAGAGGAAGTGTTATATATCTCCAGAAATCCATTGTGTCCAAAATAATCTGATATTGCAATGATCTTTTTTGGAATGAACATGTTCTTTAGGGCTTTGTCATAAACTTTCAGTCTGAAGAATTCAGTCTCGGTAGCCACTGTGGCATGGAACATCCATTTGTCCTTAATCAAATCATAAGTAAATGGTTCTGTTACTTTCAGCACTGTCACTTCTTTGGGACCACACTGATACCCTTCTTCCTTAGAAGGCTCCTTTGGTATGTTCCCTTTCCTTGGTGACTGCATAAAACACACACAGGATAAACATGCATAATTCAGGAAGATCAAAATGCACAAATACACTGTGTAGAGTTTCAGAACATCTGAACAATGATTGTCATAATATGAATTATTTAAAGGAAGAAATGGATATTTACCTAAATCATTGCCTAGTGATTCCATTTAATACTAATTTTACCTAGCAGATAAAGGGATTATATATACTCATAGTTGTGGGGAATGAACCCAAAGCCTCCATTGCTTTATTCAAGTCTTGTATCTAGAATCATTTTGAATGTTTCAATTACAAAGCCTTGACTAAAAATCAGAGCTTTTTGGTAAAGGGTTAGGTAGGCATCCCCAGGAAGATCCCCTCAAATATTGTTAATCAGAAAGGGTTCAGGCTAGCAGCTATTCTTTTTGCATAATATCAGGCATGGAGGAGAATCTGAGAATAGATAAAGTTCATGAAGTCATTTTAATTTTATCACCTGCCTCCTCAGCATCCTATTCCATTTCTGAGCATCAGGAGAGCACTTTGAAATGAAAGAACAGTTGTAGAACTGAAAGAGAAAGCATGATGGCAGCCATGGCCAACCTGGGTGCCAGCTCAGGGAGGCATATATAACTGGTACCAGTCTCAGAAATCTGACTTTGAAACATACAGACTTCAGTATGTTGGTTAACTCAGTATGGGGTTAACTCAGATTCTTGATCAGGAGGCACATTTCCAATATAACTGGACCAGCAGTTCACAATATGAAAACAACTCCTTGACAAAAAGTGCAAGGTGTAAAGTTAAATAAGAAAATGTCTCACAATACTCCTTACAGAATAGGCATAATCAGGTGATCACTGAGTCAGACATTGTCTTAATGGAGTGGAGCATACAAAGTATTTTAAAGTTGAATTTAGGGAAGGATCAGCGACCCTACACAATAAAAATGAGTAATTATTTACATAAAAGATTATGTGTGCATATAGAATAACTAAGAAGCCTCCCATTTTAGGGCTAATCTGTCATTATACTATGAGAACAGAAAGCCATTACCCTAAATAGACTGCTGCTTTTTGTTGCTTGAGGCACAAGGGAAGCTGTTGCTGAACACACCCGTGGATCCAGAAGACTGCTGGATGCTCCTGGTAAAGATGCACATGGAGCCAGCAAACTTCCAGATGTTGTTGCTGAAGGCTTCTGAGGATCCTGGACATTCCTAGATGCTTTTACTTCGGGATAAGGAAGGGCCTGCTTAATACTGGATGCTGCTACTCCTGGAGGCACTTGAGTCGTGTACAAACTCCTAGACTCTGTGAGTAGAAGAGGATGAAGAGGCTGGATGAAGTTGGCTGCTGCGCCTGGATGCATTTGAGTGGTCTGGATACTGCTTGTCTCTATTGGTTTAGGCACCCGAGTAGCTGCAAGACTCTTCGATGTTGTTGGTGGAAGTACCTGAGAAGCCTGGAGACTACTAGATGCTGTTGCTGGAGATGCCAAAGAAGACAGAGAACAAACAGATACAATTCCCGAGGGACCTGGGGCCTTGGTATTCCTGGGTGCTCTTACTGTAGTGGAGTTAAGAGTCGGAATGCTGCTGGATGTTGCTCTTTGAGGCACCTGAGTGGTGCAGGCATTTCTGGACACTGGTTCTGGAAGAGCATGGGGAACCTGCACATTGCTGTAGGCTGTTGCTGGAGAAGTCTTTATGAGCTGTGCTTTGCATTTCAATGTTTCAGAAGGCACTCTAGGGGTTTGGACACTGCTGGGTGCTACTATTTGAGTACTGTGAGGAGGCTTCACGCTATTGAATGCTGCTGCTGTAGGTGGGCAAAGATTCTGGGCACTGCTGGCCACTGATACTGGAGACGTCTGAGGAGCACTGAGAGAGCTGGACACTGTTTCTGAAGGCATGTGAAAGACCCACGCACTCCTGGATGGTGTTGCTGTAGGTACATGAGAAGCCTGGACATCACTGAACAGTGTTAGAGGCACATGAGAGTCAAGGTGCATGCTAGAGTTTGTTGGAGATGTTGGAAAATCCTGGCAAGGTTGTGCTGGAGAGCCCTGAAGCATCTTTGAAGTGAAGCCTGTTTCTGGAGGTGCATGAGGAGTTTTGAGGCTTTTAGAAACTGTTGCTGAAATTACCTGAAAGGTCTGTAGTTCATTGGCAGCTGAGGAGATATTATTTGCTGGCAATTCTTGAAGCTGTTGTTTTTTCATGGAAACTTCTGTCTTTATAGTATTATGTTTTTTGGTGTCTGTTTTTTTCTGTTGCTAAAGGAAATTAGGATTGAGATATTTTTAATACTGCTTAATGTTTTTTTAATATAAGGCCAAGTATATCTTTTCACTGTATCTTCTGAAAAGAGTTACTTTACCCTGCCAGCTTTCTCCTGGACTTAAGGAAGCATTTAGAACATACTTAGGTATTTCTAACTTCTACCTTCTACCCTTCCTAACTGATATTACAACTTCTCTTAAAAGCCAGGTATTGAATTTTCATTGGTCTGAGATGGAATACTAGCTCAAAATATCTTACAAAACTGGTCAAATATTACTTGGTTTGGTTCAACTCTTAGTGTTATTTTGTAGGAAATAAAGTTTATAGTAAAATTGGCAATTTCTGTACTTTTTCTTGGTGTAGACTTTCTAATCCATCAAATATTCAACCATTATTGTGCACACAGAATCCACCACCCCCACACTCTCAGGTGATATGACTGAAATTATGTGACAGGTACCATAAAAAATGGACCACATAGATGGATTTTCCTGGAACGGGACATAGATCAGTTGGCAAAGGTCTGATCTAGCATGCCTGAAGCCCATCTGAACTCAATTAAACCTTTGTTTTGCTCTTTAAAGTTACCATAACTCCAGTTCAACAAAACTTTTACATATGTGAGAAATCTTTGTACTTCAGGCAACAGATCTCTTTATGGTCTTTATCACACTTTTTTAATCTTAGAAGTATAAAATTTTAAAGTTTTAAATTTTGCTTTAAAAGTGAAGGTAAGTTAGTTTGCAAATACATTTGTATAATTGAATTGGCCAATTTTTTTCTTGAATGCTTTTGATCATCCAAGGTAAAAGTCTTCTAAAATGAAAAACTCACTATGAAGCTGATGGCATTCAAGTTACAATTATTAAAAACTGTAGACTATTTTCCAGGCTTGTGTACATTTTGAATTATATTGCTGTCATCATTTATAAACACATTTAACTAGATGTGCCTAAGGAGTTCCCATGCTAAATAATAGGAATCTACCATTTAAAAAGATTAAATGTTGGTCATATCGAGTGTTCAACACAGTTGTATCATGTAGTAAAATAAGATCTGTGTAAATTGCAGTCAGGATCTCTGTAGTGAGGTAGTCCTTCTGTTGGACACTGTTGTTGCTCCTGCTGGAGTTCAATCTTGCCTCAGCTAATGGCCTGTTGGGCATAGAATTGCCCCCACCTTGACCACTGATTTGGACATGCAGTCCTATGACTGTTCAGGTGGCTTGCTGTTTCTGTCCTTGCTGCACCTTTTGGAAGTTGTCCATCTGCATTTCCTGTCTACTCTAGTATTGTTATTTTCCTTCTCAGGTCTTGATGAGGTTGAAGATTAAACTATCACAACTATTATTCTCTCTTCCTAGTTAGATATATTAGGTACTAGACTTACGTTTTCCAGCTTAGGACAACTCTATTGTAAACTCCATTATGCCCTCACCCTAGGACTAGATATGTACGTCATTTTGTTCTCGATTTTCCTTTTCTTAGAGCACACTTGTTATTCACTGTTTTGTATATAGTTTTGTATTAAGCCTAAATCTTTTCTTTAGACTAAAAGGGGAATTGTAGTGAGGTAGTCCTTCTGTAGCACTGACCACGCCCATTGGGGGGTGGAGCGATGGGCGGAGGTGACCTGAGGAAGGAGGTTGGAGGGGGCCAGGAAGGCGCTCTCTCTTTCTGGCGTGACTCGGACAGGAGAGGATCGGGTTGAATTTCCTGGTGTTCATCTGTCTAGGTTGTAAGTTATTTCTCCCTGAATAAACATCTATTCGGCCTATTTGTTTATCCTGATCCTTATTTACCGCAATAGATCTCAAAATACACGTCTGATTAATTCATGGTATATATGTATAATTGAGTATGTTATTAAAATGAGAGTAGATGAGTTCTTTTAAGGTAATGGTCATTGTAATTATATTAAGAAGACATCAAAATTGGAGCAGGATGTTGTTTCCTTTGATGAGGAATGGTTGGAAGTGTTTAGTCTATGCCTGGAGGGGTCTGAAGGTGATTCTCAGCAAAAAATGACCATTAGAGTTATACAATATTTGGTTAGTGAGTTGACAGGGATAAAAATTTCCAAGTAGGGAAATAGCATGTGTCAAATCCCCTGCTGAATAGAACACAAAATGGTGAAAATAACCTCTGAAATTGGGTCACCAGCAAAGAGAAAAGGGCTGAGAAGGAACTAGGCAATGGGGATAGATACCTTCTCCTGTTTATCATTGTCATTTTACCCTGTACTTCCTTCTGAACCCTAAACAGAAAGTTGGTTGTCAACATTAGAAATCATTTCATAAATATTTATGTTTTAATCCCACAGAGGTCGTGATACTTGATTAGATAATTTGATGAGCTATTTACTAATATGAGGAAAATCTTTGTAGTAGGGAGTCATTGCGATATTTTTCCAAGGTTGTGGTGAGCCCAGAGATATACTTTGGGAAGGGGTAAGCATTGGGAATAGAAAAGTGGTACCTTGTTTGAGGATGGTGTTGGTGGAGGCTTTTGAGGAGTCTGGAGACACCCTTCATCTTTTTGTATGTTGCTTCCTGAAGGTTCTGGAAGCTGAGTTGTCTCCTGGGAGAGCTTCTTTTTCTTGCCATCTGCAGTTTTTGTGGGTGTTTTTCTCTTTTTCTGAAAAAAAAAAAAAAAAAAAAAAAACGTGTTTGTTTTCTTTATTGATTTTTTTTCTGTGTGGGAAATTGAATTGCAAGCTCTGTATATGCAAACTTGTGTTTTTCTATACAGTTTTATCCCCAGTCCTAGTAATGTCTGTAGTACAAAGCAGAGCACAATATTTTCAAGGCCAGAAGAATATTTGTTTTAACTAGGTGTTGGTGGTGAACACCTTTAATCCCAGCACTTGGGAGGCAGAGGCAGGTGGATCTCTGTGACTTCAAGGCCAGCCTGGTCTACAGAGTTCCAGGACAGGCTCCAAAGCAATACAGAGAAACCCTGTCTCAAAAAACTAAAGAAAAATATGTTTTATTACGGACTCCAATTATATTTGTGCACACCTCATTCTTAAAAGCTGGATTATATAGTGTGAATGTTTGAATAGTAATGGCCTCCATAGATGCACAGAATTGACTAAGGATGCTTGATGACCAGGAATTGTCAGCATTAGTAGGTGGGGCCTTGTTGGAGTAGGTATACTTTTTTGGAGGAAGTATGTCACTGAGGTTTCAGATGCTTAAACCAGGCCCAGTGTGTCCCTCTTTTCCTGTTGCTTGGAGATCAGGATGTAGAACTGTTACCTACCTCTCAAGCACAATGTCTGCCTGCATGCTGCCATACTTCTCCATGATAATAATTAACTAAACCTCCAACTGCAAGCAAGCTCCAATTAAATGTGTCTTTTTTATAAGAGATGGTGTAATCGTGGTATCTCTTCAAAAGCAATATAAACCCTAACTCGGACATATAGGATTATCTCATAGAGGAGTAGAAAAATTTCATCTATCTCACCCTATTTATTCCTGTAGTGGCCAAAAGTATCAGGTGTAGAATTAGAAAGATCATATTAGGTTTTCTCTTTGCAAAAGCCACATTTCAAAGCAACTGTTATTTCAGTAAATTGTTTTGAAAAAGTCACATAGGGATTGTATATTTACAGCATTGTGTAGTTATACTGCACATATTAGAACACATGGGAAATCTGAAAAAGTGAGTGACAGGTCACTGTGAATTTGATGACTTAGAACCCTTTTCTCCCTAGGACCTTGGACCAGATAGATACAGTACAACATCTTCCTAAAGAATTACAAAAGGGAAGAACTTGAGTAGAAACTTTTTGGTGGGAGATTAGCCATCTTACCTGTGAAGAGGGTTTAGTCATGTTTGATTCATGATCAGTAGAAAGAGATTGGGAATCCCCGGGTTCTTCTTGCTTTTCTTTATTCACTGAAGTTTTATTTTTTCCTTTATTTTTACTTTTAACTACAGAGATGAAGAAAACACAATAAATCCAGGGAAATGGTTAAGATAGCTAAAGCTCATTCAGAATTATTCATTTTCTTTCTTTATTAAAAAATTAAAGTAATAATTTATTTTATTTTCATTAGTGTTTATACAGAAAGTCAATGATTTCATGTTGATTTTAATAAAACCTTAATCTTTCAACTTTACCAATAAAGACTCAGGAGCCAGATGTTGGGGTGAAAACATGCTAGTTCACAGAGCCATAGTAAGGTCCGAGCTGACCTTCCTATTGCCCAGGTGTCCCATAAACCCACTTTTCCTATACTGCCTCAAACCAAAACCTCTCAAACTCAGTGTCTCTCACCTCTACCTCCTCTGCTTCTCTCTCACCATGCTCCTGACTTCAACTACTCTCTATTTTTTTTATTTCCCTTAATAATACCATGTTCACTTCTTGCCAACTGGTTACTTGCTCTGCCTCTTGACCTAGGGTTGACTTTACTTAATACTGCTTACAATATTTAAGCAGAAATCTATTGGCTTAAATGTGTGTGCTCAGGATAAACCACAAAAAAACCTAGAAATAATTGTTTTCCAGCTAAATAATGTAGTCTCTGAGTACATAATGTGACCAAATACCTTGCCACATTTTCAAGAACTGTTTCATCTGTACTCATGTCTGTGTGTTTCCTTCCTTCTGCTGCAGAAACTCTACCTGCCCAGAGGTCCTCCAGTAGTACCAAGTCAGATACAGGCACTGCCTCAGGGGATCCTTTGCAAATCTCATTTGTAGGGGACTCAGCTTCTCCATCTTGGGAACTTCTGTTTTTGTCAGTAAAGCCCTGTCCCAACCCTCTTATCCCACAGACTGATTTTTTAAAAAGCTATGCTTTTGTGATAATAACAATAGGGTGACCCTAAAGAGGATAATTCTAAGTCATAGAAAAAAAAAAAAAAAAAAAGAGGATTTGACTTGATATTTGATGTAACAAAATAGTAACATTGGATTTTTACTTCCATATTGGGGATATGTATTTCTATGTAACTCAGAGTATTCTTAATCTGTGGGTCTCCTTGAATGAGCCTCCTTGTGCTAAACTCTCAGGTCAGAGTTGTGTAATGATGTTATGTCCAATATATTTTAAACCCAAGGTCTTTGTAAAGACAAACTTCTTCACATCTCTAAAGTGGAGACTTCTACTTAAAAATTAGATCACATTTTTTACCAGAAAAGGAATTAATAAAAGGGTAACATTGTTAATTGTTAGTTCTCTCTACTTAAATGAATTAAATGATTTTTTAAATTTTTTACTTTATCATTTTTTAGTTTTTTTTCTACCATGTTGGGTATTCAAATCTGTTTTTTATTTTTATTTTTTGACAACTGATATTTTATTTACCTCCAAAGCAAAAGTTGTTTACCCAGAAATACATCAAGTTGCTTTATAAGAAGGGATTTCTCAAAACCAACTTGTTGACATCTGAAATGCTTCAACTTTTAAGTCATACAATGGGTTAGAGAACTATCAGCTCTCTTCACTGCATGGAGAGTGAAAATTTGGGCAGGGGGGCATGGAGAAGGAATGAGTGTGCAGAGTGCTCCCTTGTTACCTTTTGCCTTCTCTGTTTTAAGCTCTTTAGCAAGGCCTTCAAGTTCTTTAATGCTTTCACACATTTTTGCCAGTTTGTTCAGTCCAGCATCTTGTGGGAATTTGTCCTCCATCATGTCAGCCACCTGAATTCTGTCAAATTCTTCTTGCAATTTTTTAGTTAGATTTAGTTCTTTTCTTAGTAAGGACTTGATTGTCCTAAACTGGTATTCATCCATGACCTCTAATCCTTTTAGGAGAACAATTTTCTTGTATTCACTCATTTTCTCTCAAATTGTGGACAATCCTAAAAGATGAACATGGACATAGGATTACATGCATTTACAGACAATTCCAAAACAAGGATATTCTTGTGTGAATGAATGACCCAACTTGACCATATTGTCCATAATCACATGTGGGAGAAAAACAGAGTCAAATACAAGCTGTGTCATAGTACAAAATGGATGCAGAACTTCTGTTTTAATAAAAAATTTTAGGAAATATTTCCTCATTGATCATGCTAGGTAGCAGTTGTGGTGGAAGAAAAGTGTTGAAATCAATCATTGTTGCAGTGTTTAAGTCTAGCCTGTGAATGTTAAAATTCTGAGTCTTTTTCCATCCTTATTTCCAACCCTTATCTACCTGAGGGTTTCCAATTGTTCTATTCTAAAATGATCTATATGCAAATGGAGTGAATCCTATTACAGTGTACCTGGATGAACAATGACTGAAGTAACATGACCCCTGCTGAGCCATTGACCCTTGTTCACTAGTCTTCCACTCAAACTCCCCCGCTCATTACCATCTGGTTTCTCCTAGGCTTGGATTGTGATCATTGGGTCCTTTGTGCTCATATCACTGTCCATTTCACAAACATCTATGTACATTTCAGAATTTATTGGATGGAATTATGTCAGTAGTTTCTTGATTTTATCATTTTAGGCTTGACTTAGTGATTTTATTTGTTCATAGGCACAATTTTATACCTACAAGTTGTAGCATGAATTCTACTTGTTCTTAATAATAAAACCTCTGAGTCAGCTATTAGGGGGTGAAAACTGTAGGATCAGAGAAACTAAGCAGCCAGCCACTGCAGAGTTTTTACCTCTATCAATACTCAGACCAAAAGGGTGATCCTCAGGTTGCTTCCTCAGACTGCTTCAGACTGACTGTACTGAACTCCTGTTTCTTCCTGCCTTATATTCCTCTTTTAGCCAAGCCATATTACTCTTGACTCCACCTCCTTGGTGCTGAGATTAATGGCATGTAATCCCAAGTCCTAAGAACACATTTGTGTGTGCTCTGTTTCTCTTTTAGACTGGATCAATTTCATGTAGTTCATGGTGCCCTTGAACTAACAGAGATCAATTTTCCTCTGCCTCCTGTGTGCTGACATTAAAAGTGTGTGCTACCACTGTCTGACTTCTATGGCTATCCTGTGTGACTAGCTCTACACTCTGATATTCAGGCACACTTTATTTGTAAGATCATAAACAAGATATCACCACAACAAGTCATGCTTAAATCCACCACAGCTTTTTTTTTAAAAATAGTTTCCTATTTATTAAAATTATCCCTTCCTCCTAAAATGTATAAGAAGTCCTTGAATAATCTGCACTCTTCCACTCATGTTTATTCTTGTTTATTTTTATTCCTGAGATCATATGCTCCAAAGTAAACACCTATTGTCAAAGTTTATGATATGGCTCATTTCTTTTTCATTGCTTGGAAAGCTATTTCTCAGATTTCTTTCTTTGTCTGCTTTTCATAAATTTTGAAAACTTAAGAGTCAAATGGAGTGTGGAATGGGAAGGTAGGGTAGTGATACAAACAGAAAGAGGAGTAACTAACACAAGTTAAATTTACAAAATCTAAGATGGAAACCTATTGCTGTAGAAGATCACACATACACTCCCACACACCCACACCCCTCCCACTCACAATACACACACTCTATCTATCCTCTATCATTCAATCACAATATCTATCAAGAATTTACTCAAAGTCACTCTTTTGTGGGGCAACAATATTTCTACTAGACATTTCCAGTGCTGGAAATGAATTTTCTCTCTTAATATAATTTGCCATTCAGTTCTCATAGACTCCCAACACATAATCTATTAACAATGCTATTCATTACATTCCAGAAATTTATAGTAAGACTCTACTGCAGAAGACACCACATTCTTGAGTCATGGAACATGGAGAATTCAAATTGATATTCACCTGGAAACCTTATCCCTACTGGCTAGATTTTCTAGTTCTGGAAGATACTGTGCACAGTAATGGAGGAACAAAATAATCATTATCCTTTCCAGTTGTGGAACCTTGGAGGTACAACAACAATCAGTCTGTCAATCCATGTTCACTGGTGCAATAGTGGCATAAATGTTGTGGGTTTAACCATCTATTTGGTGATTTGATAAGGTCTGTATGAGTTGAAACCTACACCTGGTACCACTGTTAAGACTGAGAACCCGTGACCAGACTACTCAGTCCCTAGTTGAGAACCTACTGATTTTACTCTGATAGACTTGAGTAGAATTAAACTTATTATTGTGTGCATAGTCTTTCAACCCTCTTCAGAGAAATCTGTAAAGAACTAATAACAAAAATTAGAAAATTAGAATCAAAAATTGGCTTTCTGGAAATTCCTAAAATTCCCCAGTGGACTGTGTGTCCTGCTTGGTAACTCATTTATTCTTTATATACTTCCTTGATGATCTTCAGAGAATGAAATGAGTCCAATATTCTAATTCAACATATGTTATTTTAGTTTGGAAATCATGACTTAATGGGCCTCGGTTTAATTGGATATTAAATGTCTAGAGCTACTAATTGCTTTTCTAAGAAAAATTGAACATCGTCCATGCCTAAAGAAACCCAAGAAGGAATATAATAGCCAGACAAGGACACATGACAAAGAAAGATGAAGAGTATTAAGAAACAAACATGCTCTGAGAGCCATAAGATATGAATAAATAGATTAATAGATCATGTATACATTCAAGAAGGAGATGAAAACTGATTCTCAACACTAAAACTCCCTTCTTCAGAGTAGCATTCCAGGTCCAGGGAAAATTAAAATTGTTTGGTTTAAAATTTATTTGGTTTGGTACTTGTGAAAACACAAACATTTCAAGCACAACCAGATATGGATGACAGACACTATGTGTAATTTTTATGGGTTCCATTTATATGAGAATATTCTTTTTACTATTGAAATGTTATTGCTGTTAATTTGAACTAATCATCCCAACTTCAGTAGAATTTCCAATTTGTACAATTTAGTATACATGCATCAATATCAATCTATGCCCACTAGATTCTGGGAAGCAATATGTGTTCAGCCTCACTGCTAAAAAGTTAAATACATTAAATGTTAAGTCTCTTTAAAAACACCTAAATTATCTTCCAAATTTCAAAGTCTCCTCTCTAAAATATCCAAAGTCTCTTCAAAGTCTTCAGAATTCAAAGTATCTCAACTGTGAGCTCTTACCAAAAAAAAAAAAAAGTTAAATCCAATAGGGGAACAACCAGGTCATCATAATTACATTACAATCAAAGCAAAGTCAAAATTCAACAGTGTAGAAAGATTCTGTGCTCCAAGGGGCCTTTGAGGCTCCATTTCTCTCTTGCTTCTATCCAAGCACACATAATGGTTCTCTTATTCTTGGCTACCTCTCTCCACACCAGCTGCCATTCTTGGTGGTCCACCAATGGACATCTCAAAAAATACTGGGATCCCCATCGAAACCCAGTTTCACAGTGACACCCCTTCATGCATCCAAAACCAGTACCAACTGGGTAAGTTTTTTACATTACAAAGTTTGGTTGTCAACCCAAGGTACAACATTGTCCCCTTCTGGACCACAACTTCAAATTCTGTGTACTGACAGTGAGAAGACATTTCTCAGTTTATACCTCAATAATGCTGGTCCCTTCTTGATCTCAACCAATCTCGAGTCCCAGCTGACCACAATCACATATTTGTAACTCAAAATATTGAATGGCCTCAGTAGATTCTTTGGCAGACTCTCAACTTTCCCTCTGAAATTTCCAAGCCAGGCCTTCATCATCAGCATTGCCTTCCAAATTACCTTGTAAGTTTCCACAATATTTTACTGATCTCTAAACACTCAATAGCTTTTATATCCCAAAGTTACAACTTTCTTTCATAATTCTTCCTAATACATAGTCAGGTATGTCACAATAACATCCCACAAACCCAGTTCCTATTTCTGTCTTAGTTATAGGTTCTACTGCTGTGAAGAAACACCATGACTAGAACCAAATTAGGAAGAAAAGGATTTGTCACTTCATAGCCCTTTATTGCAGGGAGCCAGAGCAGGAACTCAAGGCTGGAATTGAAGTAGGGGCCATGAGGAATAGTGATTACTTGCTTGATTCTCACAGCTTGTTCAGCATTTGTGAATACCTGTTCAGGAGTGGCACAGTCTCCAATGGGCTACACACTCACATCAATCATTAATCAAGAATATTCCCTCCTTTCTACAGGCATTTTTGAAAGAAGCATCTTCTCAACTCAGGTACTTCTTTCCAGATATTTTTTTTTATGTTAGATCAAGATGATAATAAACAACTAGAACACACACTTAGAAAGAGATAATATTTTGTATGATATTTCTTAGTATTTTTGTCTCTTCATAGAAACATAAGTAGCAACATAGAATATGTTTTGTTCCAAATGTGAACATATGTACACATATCCTCTTCAAGTGTGAGAAAGGATACTCATCTATGAATTTGAGAAAACACACAATATTTTGATAAACAAAGCAGTATGTTTTTCAAATAGTAAATTAACAAGGTATAAACATCTGCAAAAAATTTAGAATGTTTGAGAAACATAAATGTTACACCAAGAGAGAGAACCTTATATAAATACACATCTGCAATCAACTTCTAAAATATTCTGTTCAAGTACACATTAAATACTCTAAAGTGTACATGGGAAGCCTTTAATGTATTCTAAAAGTAGGCAATAGAGATATATTTCTAATTATCTCTCTATCAGCCCCAAAAATTTCCACCAGAAAATAAAACAATTCCACACAAACTAAAACTAAGGAAAACAAATAATGTTCAATATGACAGTAAATAACTCACTATGGTTGAGATACTGCCAATAGAAAAGATAATGATGAGTATGTTTATGGATAATCAAAAAATGGACTGGAATAACTGTAGGAATCTGTGGAACTTTGAACTATACATGTCCATTGTTTCTCATGCTACTCAATATTGGAATATTAGAGTGCAGCTCCACCTCCAGATAAGCTTTCACTAAATACTATTTCACAGTAATTCTTCAATGTCACTATCCTAACCTTTACCCAGTCAATCACCTCAGCCAACAATTCCTTCTTACTCTCCAATCAAGAGAACTAAAGCCTTCTTTTCCATTTCATCATACTTACACTTAGAAAGTTACTTTATTATTTTTCATAACCAAAATGTGTTTTTGTTAGCTAGGCCCCACCCAGTAAGGGTGGAATAAAGATGTCTGACATATTCTCTAGTGAAGCATCATAACCTAGCTACTGTGGGTTCACTGCTCTGAGAGCAGTTGACACCAGCCCTGAACCCTCCACTCTCTTCAAAATAAGCAGTTCTGGCTTCCCCTGTGCCCTTGTGGGTTTCAGAGAGCTCTTCACTCTACATAACAGGGGCAAGACTCACTTTCTTGGAAATTCTTCAGCAGTGTCCAGATCCTAGTTTATCTGCAAGGCAAGAAGCAGAGATAGTTTCATTTGAATAAGATGATAAATGAATAAATCTCTCAGAGTCTGGACAGTAATGTTGCAATCCCTGAACTTTCAAGAACTGGAAGCAGTTTAAAAGATGGGGAGGATCACCACACTGGTGAGGGTCATTTCACTTTACTTCAAGTTGTGCAGTTTTGAGTGCCTTGCACTGTGCTCTCCCTGGGGAGAGGATGGCTGCAAATCTGAGGCCTCCTCCCACTATTCTTAGCTTTTGGTGTTGTTCCTAGATAGTGAAATTGAAAGGTTTCCATCTTGTATACACTTCCCTACAATGGAACATGTCTTCATATGAGGATGTTCCAACTTTAAGCCTTCCTGTTCAACAGATTTGCCAATGGTAAGAATCACATTCCTTAAAAAAAAAAAAAAAATGTGAGCCACCCAGACACTTCTCCTTTTCTACTCAGTGTGGACCTTGGCAGGAGGAGAATTCAGTAAGTGTCTATTACAGCAAAGAACTCAATGTGTTTCCTGGGTTGAGGAATATCTCTGATGCAGGTTTAAGCACTTGTTAAAGCATTTACTTATTTTTAAATAGTTCCAAAGCCAGAAGATTGTTCAAACAAAATGTTGCACCTTTAGCCTTCAATTAATAGAAAGGAATTTGGCATTAGCTGTTTCTCTCTAGTCTATAGTGAAGCTCTTCTTTCTTATGTGGCCAAGTTAAAGAATCCATGGTGTCTCTGCATTATTTATGGATAAACATAATACTTAGTGGGCCTATTTAATGACAACATGGAAACCTCAAAAATGGGAAGTTCTGAACTGTAGTCAGACCAAAGTTCTGACATAACCTTGTCCTACTGTGTGCTGTTGTGTATTGTGTTAAAAAAAAAAGTGGGTAATCTTTGTTACATTGTAATTTTGAGATTTTTGTGGTATGGGAGCCTCCTAACTCATTGAACTACAAAATTTGGACTTATACTGCTGGATTTTGGTTTTTCCTAGATCTTATTGTTCCTATGTCCAGGTCTTTCCTGTTTGGAATTACGAAAGTATGTACCTCACTTTTTATTTTACTGGAGTCCTACTCCAAATGACTTGACAGATTTTGATGATCCCTCCTGGAAGGCATCACCCTCCCTGTGGAGTGTATGGGGGGGATGGGAAGGGGGGTCGGGGGGCATGGGAGGGAGGGAGAGGGAACTGGGATCTATATGTAAAATAAGAAAAATTATACACACACACACACACACACACACACACACTCACATACATTTAGGATATTTAGGATTTTAAAGAGACTTTGGAATTCTTTAAAGTATTGAAGTATTTGAAGAACATGGGACTTTAAAACATTGAACTGCATTTTTTACTGTATTGGCATGAGACCTTGGGGAACAATAAAGGAAAACTATGATTTAAAAATGATGCTTTAACTGCCAAATTTTAAAAGAAAATGTTTATACGTTTTACAGGTGTATGTGTGAGAGGTGGGGGAACGAGTCCTCATATCCTGATGTCAGTGTGCTAATTCTCAACCTGAATGTTGAGCCCTGTTGAGTTTTGATTATAGAGCCAGGATTATGCTTAAATATAGGAATGATTCCATAGATCATGGGGATATTTTATTCTTTGTATCTTTGTGTTTCATTAGGATTCTATTAAAACATATGATTTATCTCTAATTGTCAATTCCTCTAATTCTACAAGAAAATAGAATTTAAAAGACTAGAATCTCCAAAAGTAGGAGTAAACAGGAGAAACCACGAACACATTTGTAATGTTCATATCTATTTTTCATAACAAAGATGGACTAGCTTGCTGTAACAAGTGGCATATAAATGAGTTAGCCCTCTTGAAAAAAAATGATGCTTTAAATTGAGAGTAGAACAATATGGTTGAGTGCAGCTGGAGAGTGTGGGGGCAGAATAGTGGTGAGGATATGTAATTAGAATAGTTAATTCTAAAGATCTTTCAAAATGTCATATGGAAACTACTACTGCATATACTTTATAAAATAAATGCATATTCATATAAAAAGTGTTTAAATGAAGTTATACTCCATTTAATGAGTAACGATGTTCCTACTAGAAACCAGTTGCTAACAAACAAAATTCCTAGTGTTAGGAATAGGTTACTTTGGAGATTGGTGAGGTCCCTTAACACCCCCTGAAAACACACACACACACACACACACACACACACACACACTAAAAGCTATTGCCAATGTTTTTGGTTTCCTGCCAGAACTTGATAAGAGACACTATGTACATGAGTCATAGATCATGGAGACATCAGCTTGTACTGACCTTGAAGCTACATTCCCCCTGGCTAGCTCTTTAGTGCTGGAAGGTGCTATGCATGTTACCAGCAGAGAAAAGTAATCTCCAATCTTACCCTTTCTTTGTGGCAATCCTTGAATAATGTAAGGAAGAAATAATTTAAGAGCCAGAGGTGGTGAATAACTACAGGGACACAGTGTTTGTCAAACATGAACTCAGAGCACTTGTGGCAGCATTATAAATTTAAGCCAGCCAAAATCCCAGCATGAAGTGGGAGGGGATGAACACAAAGTCCCATAACCAGCTAAGGAATTTTTGGCACTTGATAGTTGCTGGGAGGGGGAGAATAATTCTTATTAAATGATGGGTCAGGCGCCATGTTTGGTTGAGGACAAATTGTACTTGATGAGTTTTAAAAACAAAGTTGGATGGGTAAGAAAGGGTGTGTGTACCCGGAAGGAGTTGTGGGAGGAGGTGAATAGGAGCACACTACACTGTGCTAATCTCTCAAAGAACTAAAAAATCAAAACTGGGAAAGAAAGCAAATACAGTTCTCCCTTAATGAAAACTGCAAACTTTATTAGGCACACATAAGGACTTTATAGAAAACATACAGACCTGATTTTAAAAAAAAAATGTGAAAGAGGAAGTTCACAACATGGTTGAAGAACAGAGAAAGAGGACACACAGATTGCTGGTGTAAGATAGACATTCTTCAGTGAAATGACAGTAGCAGAAGTAGAACAAAACTCTGCTGCTTACCAGCCCACGACGAAGGACCAAAGAGCCAAATGAACCAAATTCTGTGAAACATTATTCAAGAAATGTACCTCTAGGTTGTTAATCACACATTCTTTAACAGTGGAGAAAATCCAAAATTAAGTAGAAACTAAAGACATTCCTGTTTATCTGCATTAGTGGAGCTTCAGTAGTATTGAAGGAGGGAATAGTTTTAACTATGGATTTATCTACTAATAATTATATATGCTATTCGTTATTATTTTGTTCCTTCATATCTCTGTAAAATCATGGAATATATTTTGACACAAGTGAAAATATCTACACACATGCATACATCGTATACATTCAATGTCTGTGAGAGCACATATATCCATGAATTTGAAAAAAAAAATCAAAAGGAGAAACAACAGTTTTGTGAGGAAAACAGTGTGTCAGTTATTGAATGAATTAGGTGAAAAATCTGTAAAAAAATCTAGAAAGTTTGAAGCAACATAACTGATAAACTTAGCAAGATGGATCTAATAGGCACAATTCTCAATTTGATTATTAAGTTATGTAGTCCAAATGCGAGTAGGACACAGAAAGTCTTTAAAACATTGTCAAAACAGACAATAGAAATATATTTCTATTTAATTATCTTTTATATCCCATGCAGCTTATAACAAAAGCCCAGAAACTAGTAAAATGTAACCAATGCAAAAAAAAAAAAAAAAAAGAAAAAGAAAAAAAATCTATCATGATGACAGAAAATTTCTCCCAGAGACTAAATAATATTTTATTTTTACTATCCTGTGTGAAGGGGAGAAAAAGAAGGTATTAAATAGGCTTATTAAAACAGGATGCAGAAAAACAAAAACCAAAAAACAGGATGCATTTGAACAACCGTGTTTGTGAATCTTAGAAAATTTTTACTACACATGTCTGCTGCCTTTCATGTTGTATATTATTAGGATGTTACTAGATAATACAGCTCCGTGTGCAGATGTATATTTTATTCAGTATTATTTCATGGTAATTTTTCCTATCTCTGCCTTGTCCTTTACTCAGTCACAGGCCACAGACACCAGGTTTCGGCTACCTCTCCAGCCAGGATAACTACAACCTTCTTATCCTTCTCTACTTATTCGTACTTAGAAAGTTTATTTTACAGTCTGCAATGATCAAAATGCATCTTTTCTTGCCTCAAACCCCAGAGACAGAAGAATAATGATGTCTTCCATCTTCATGCATGAATCATTAGAAACCAGCTACAGGGTTTCACTGCCCTTAATACAGCTGAAACCATCCCTGCTCCCCCACCTTCCACTGAAAGAACCACTACTGATCCTCTCTGTTCTTGTGGCTTTCACAGAGCTATCTACTCCTTATATAATAAGGCCAGGACTTACCTCCCCTGAAATTTTTTTTTAGCAGTGTCCAGATTGTAGATCCTCGGCAAGGCAGGAAATAGGGCTTGTCTATTTTTTGTAGGTAAATACACCTTTCAAAAAGTACACACCAGGGTGTTGAAATCTCATTAAATTCTGAGAAAATGTAGTATTTACAAAATAACAGAGAAGGCAAGGAAACTGGTTAAAATAATTTCCTAACTTAAACAGTGCTTAATGTCTTACCCTGTGCTGTCTCCCTGGGGAGAGTTGTGATGAAATAGGACTCCACCCAGCAATGTTCATAGCTTTCGATTTCCCCAGCTTCTCCACTAACAGTGTATTTCCTGTCATTAATGCAGTTTCCAGGAACAAAAAAGATCCCTCACAAAAACAAAAGCAGAGCTTTTCTTTACTCAGTTATTTTTCTTAAAAATATAACCAACTCTGAGCCTTCATATTCTATAGATTTACATGTGTCTCACTGGGATTCTTATACTCATTTGAATGAAGGTGAAATCACTAAGAGATAACACTGCGTCATGGATTTTGGGAGCCCATTTCCCATGGGATACTTCCTTAGCTTAGATACACAGCAGAGGGCCTAGGAACTACCTCAAATGACTTGACAGATTTTGATGATCCCTCATGGAAGGCTTCACCCTCCCTGGGGAATGGATGGCAGATGGGATGGGGGGTTGTTCAAGGGCATGGGAAGATGAGAGGGAGATGGAACTGGGATTGATATGTAAAATAAGATTGTTTCTAATTTAAATAAAATTTATATATTAAAAAAAGTGTGTCATTCAGCCATCTCACTCCCCTTTCCTGTTTAGGATGGAAGCAGTCGAGGTAAACTTGTCAGACTCCTTTGTTCCTTGTACTTGTTTCTGCATTTCCTGAGTAGGAATGATGAATCACTTTTGGGTTAAGTACTTTCCATAGCAATCCTTAATTTGTTAACGATTCCCAGGGCCTAGCTTTCCAGAGCATAATTTTACAAGAAACACATAACTCCAAATTCAGCTAATTAGAAAGTAATTTGCCATTAACCATTGCCTGTGTTATAGGTAAGCTGTCCTCTTTCAGCTTAAGATAATGACCCCTTAGATTTCCATTATGGGAAAACACACTTTCTCTATAACACTGAAATGAACTAGCTACATAACATTGATGATACTGAAGCCTTGAAAACTTACGAAAAAGCTATGAGGCTTCAGAGCCTAAAACAATATTTATCTGGCTGATTTTTCATGTTAAGGATAGTGGATGGTGTCTGTACTATTGTTACACAAAGCCATGGAACAAATGTCACCAACCAGTGGAGGCTAGTTTGAGAGCTTTAAAGTTCTCAAAATAGGGTAATGCCGTGAATTGTGTTAATAGAAATGGTAATTAATAATCAATGATAATGCCATCGTCTGGCAGAGTCCCATTGATTTGCCTGGGTAGAAAAGATGAATGTACATTTTCCAAGTGCTGGAGTTTGGCAGCTCCTGTATCTCTCTGTATTTCACAGTCCATGAGGTTTGTAAGGCTTTCATTTCCTGACATCTTCTTCAAGTTATTTCATTGTTTTAAAGCTTCCATTGTGCAAAATAGTTCCCTTCCTTGGTTATTTTATTCACTGTAATTTTTAGACTGTTTTAAATAGGATTATTTCCTTCATATGATTGATATTCTTAATATGTTTTCCATTTTTATATAGGAAATCTGCTGATGTATTTATTTATTTTACATACCAACCACAATTTTCCCTCCTTCCTCTCCTCCTGTTCCCTCTCCCCATCTTCCTTCTACCCTACCCCATCCTCTCCTCCTCTGTCTCCCTTCAGAATGTGTAAAGCCCCCCATGGGAGTCAACAAAGCATGGCTTTTCAAGTTGAGGCAGGATCAAGTCCCCTTTCCCCCTACCCCACTTCCTATGGTACCCCTCACCCCTCCTATGGTACCAAGACTGAATAAGGATTACCACCATAGGAAATGGCTTCCAAAGAGCCAGCTCATACATCAGGGACAGGTACCCCACTACTAGGGGCCCCACAAAAGACCAAGCTACACAACTGTCACTCACATGCAGATGGCCTAGTTCAGTGTTATGCTGACTCCCTGCCTGTTGGTCCAGAGTCTGTGAGTTCCCACAAACTTAGGTCATCTGTCTCTGTGGGCCTCCCCATCATGATCTTGATTCCTTGTTGCTCATATAATCCCCTCCTTCCTCTCTTCAACTGGACTCCTGGAGCTCAGCACAGGCTATGGATCTCTGCATTTGCTTCCCTTGGGTACTGGATGAAGGCTCTGTGATGACAATTATGGTAATCAGTCTGATTACAGAGGAAGGCTACTATTACTAGAAATCTTAGCTAGGGTCATCCTTTTAGATCCCTGGGTATTTCCCTAGCACCAGGTTTCTTGCTGCTCCTATAATGGCTCCCTTCTATCAAGATATCTCTTTCATTATTCTCCCCATCTGTTCTGTCCCCAACTCTGTCAATCTAATCCTTTGTATTCCCATCCAACTCCCCCCCCATCCCCTACCCTTTTCCTTCCCACCTGCAGTTTACCCAGGGTGTCTCATCTATTTCCTCTTCCTGGGAGATCCATATATGCCTCTGAAAGTCCTCCTTGTTACTTAGCTTACTCAGGATGATTTTTTTTTTCTATTCTATTCATTTGCCTGCAAATTTCATATTCATGATGCCATTTTTTTTTTTCTGAGTAATACACTTGAGTAGATGTGCCACATTTTCTTTATACATTTTCAGTTAAGGGACATTTAAGTTGTTTCCAGCTTTAGTTATTATGAATAATGCCACTACGAACATAGTTGAGCTATTGTCCTTGTGGTATGATTGAGCATCCTTTGGTTATATATGCCCAAGAGAGGAGTTCCTGGGTCTTGAGGTAGATTGATTCCCAGTTTTCTGAGAAACCACCATAATGAAGATATCTACTGATTTTTATGTGTTACTTTTTTATTCTTCTATTTTCTGAATGTGTTTATCAGCTGTAGAAGATTTCTTCAGAGTCTTTTAAATAGACTATCATATCATCTGAAAATAATGATACCTTGAATTTTCTTTTTCCTTTTATTGAAGTTTTCCCCCTAATAATTTTAATTTATTTTACTACCAGTTTTATTTGGTTGTACTCTAGGTCCCTGGACTATCTAAATTCTGTTTCTTGGTCACCTAAGCAGTGTCAGCTATGGGTTCCAATTTGTAGAGAGGGCCTTAATTCAAATCAGATATTGGTTGCTTATTCCCTCAAGCTTTTCACTATCATTGCATTAGCTTATCTTGCAGGCAGGACACCACTGTAGACCATAGGTTTTGTGTATGTTTTGGTATTTATATTTCCCTTTTGGTAGTGTGCAGAGCACCTTCTGTAGATGGAAGTTTCTATCCTGCCCAGTCCTGTAGCTGTTCAGTCCCAAATAAATACACAAAGGCTTATATTAAGTATAAACTGTTTTACCTATTGCCCAGTCTTATTTCTAACTAGCTCCTACAACTTCAATTAACCCATAATTCTTATGTATGTTTAGCCATGCGGCTTGGTACCTTTTCTAAGTAAGGCATTCTCATCTTCCTTCCTCTGCATTTGGCTTTATAAGAGCATTATCTCACACCATCTTCCTCTACCAAAGATGCTCAATTGTAGGGTGAAGGCTCTATGTAGGTGTCAGAGTGATTTCTCCAGTTCAGTAAGGTGTGTAGGTGTTGCCTTTAGCAATGGAGCCTTGTCAGTTTATGGAGAGAAATTGTATTATCTTAACAATAGACTGCCTTGTTTGGAGATTCTCATGAGATCCTCTTCAGCCAACAAATCAATTAGATGTAAACCAATCTCAAGTTTTGTTTGTTGCTTCTCACCAAGCAGAAATCATGTTTGGTGACAAGAGATAGCAGGTTGGGACTCTGCCTCCATCATTATTTAGAGATTTTATTTATATCACTTTCATATATGAATATATTTTAGAAATTTTCTACTGTTTAGATTTTCTTTCTACAGCACCCATACAGGTCCTGGCCAGGTCTGCATATATATTATGATATATATTATGTCTTCTGGTCTAGTGTTACTACAGAATTCCTGAATACACAAATGAGTGAATCTATACTTGTGCTTTCCTATGGGCTTGTTTCCTTCTATTGGCTTGCCTTGTCCAACTTCAATGTGTTAATTTCCATTTTTTTTTACTATCATACTTCATTTTTATACTTTAAAAAAATGGAAAAGGGTAAAGGGTTGGCAAAAGATCTTCCAATCATATGGACCCAAGAAATAAGCTGGCATAGCTAACCTAATATCTAACAAGTTAGACTTTAAACCAAAAGCAGTCAAAAGAGATGAAGAAGGTCATTTCATATTCATCACAGGAGAAATCCATCAGTACAAAGTCTCAGTTCTGAGCATCTATTCCCCAAATATAAAGACACCCACATTCATAAAATAAATGCTACTAAAACTCAAAGCTCACATAAAACCTCACACACTCATAGTGGGAGGTTTTTAACACCCTACTCTCACCACTAGACAGGACCACCAGAAAAAAAAAAAAAAACTTAACAAAGAAACAAAAGAACTAACAGAAGTTATGTCCCAATTGGGTTTAACAGACATGTATAGAACAGTCTATTCAAACACAAAAGAATATACTTTCTTCTCAGCTCCACATGGAACCTTCTCTAAAATTGACCACATACCAGGCAACATAACAAACCTCAACAGATTAAAACAAAACAAAACAAAAAACCATGGAATAGCCCTTCCCTGATAATGAGATTGATAACTAACTTATATGCCATCATACAGCCCTTATCTAATAGCTGACAAGCAGACACCCACAGCTAAACACTGAGCCAAATTCCTGGAATCCAGTTGCAGAGAGGGAGGAGTGATAAGAAAAGAGGTTAAGACCAGGCTACAGAAACCCACAGAGCAAGCTGACTTGAACAAGGAGGACTGATATCTGGGAAACCAGCATTATACCAACTCAGACCACCTGAACATGAGTCTCAGTTAGAAGGCCTAGAAAGTCTAAGGAACCTCTTACAATGGAACCAGGATGTATCCTGGTGCACAAAAGGACTTTGGAAGCACGTTCTCCCTTAGCCTAGAGACAGGAGGGAGGGCCTAGACCCTACTCCAAATGACCTGACAGATTAATGATCCCTCCTGAAGGCATCACCCTCCATGTGGAGTGGGGGTGGTGGGATGGGAGGGGAGTGGGGGCATGGGAGGAAGGGGGAGGGAATTGGGATCAGTAT